TGAAAGAATTTAATTGAAATATTCATTTTAATATGCAAAAGAATCTTGATTACCGAGTAAAAATACTTCAATAAAAGTAATTAATGCATATTATAGTACTTATTAATATTAAACATTAGCTCACAATTCTTATGAATTTATTTATGTCACATTAAAAAATTTTGGGCGAGATAAATAAATTAATGAAAATTGGATTTTATTTATGTAAATGCTACATGAAAATTATATGATATTTGTTTTGTTCTTTTAATGCTGCGTTCGGGAGAGTTTGTGTGTTTCAGGATATACAATTTATCATGAAATTCGACCCGCGGGTTGTATTTAGTGTAAAAATAGAACCGTATTTTCAGATAAGCGGACAAAACGACACGATTCAAATGATATCGTGGCGTTTTTAAAAATACCTCTCATTTATAAGTTGATCCAAACGGGCCCTAAATTCTACCCCCACCATAGACAGCCCGGCGTTAATATTTTATGACAATGAAAGCTACTGCCGCCGGCAGTTTGCTGTGGGATGTTTGTTGTTTTAAAGGCGGGACCGGATGGGGCCCGTCCACGTAAGCACCTCGGGCCCGACCACGTCGGCCGAGAGGCGCGGCCCCCGCGGTCTCGCAAACCGATTCTCACGTGCTACACGCATATGCGGGTCCCGCGGGCCGGAAAAAAAAATCCCGGGAATCCCGCGCGTGTGACGCCACGGATGATGCCATAGCGCTCATTTGGCACGCTGACATCGTGCTAGTCGGCACCGTGGGCCCCACGGTTGTTCTATTGGCCAATTTTGTGGAGCCCACACGTCGTTCGCATGGCTGTGCTGCAGCGTCGAGTCGCATGCAGTATGCATGGTTGGGGGCTACGTAATACTTTTTTCTGAGTGGGAGGGGGCGGAAGCGGCTTTTGAAGGCGAGCAAGGGCCTCATCCACTATTATAATTTTATTTTTTGGATTTTACTTGTAATTATATTTGTTACATTTAATTCAGGTAGATGGATGTATATGATTCCTTATAAAATTTGAAGATCTTTGATTTAAGGATATAGAAGATAAATTTTAATCATTTTTTTTTAAATAACTTAATATTTAGTTTACAATAACAATGTGTCCGTAACGGTCATGAGAAAATAAGTAAAATGAAAGAGGGTCTATCGATATAAGGTCATATCAATCGGCTGACCCATATCAACAAAACTCAGTCGACTAAGTTGATCCCATTTAGCCGAGCAGATCACAGCCCACCCTAGACCCTATAATCTTAGTTGGTCGGCACAAAGAATAGTAGGATGATAAGTCCATACACATAAAATGCCAGAAATATTCTAGTGCAAAACCCCTTCAACCAAGAAAAAAGACATAACATCATCACATTGTATCATCTTCCCTATAAATAGAAAGATCATTTTATGAATAAAACCCGACTGATATGACATATTATTGTTCATTACAGTTCACTTCTCTCTCTCTTTCCTTGCACTCTATTCCTCGGGTGTGATTCACTGATAATTCAAGGTTGAATTATTAATTATCTAAAATCTGAAATAAATTAAGAAAAATGCGATCCAAAATTTATCTTTTCAATTAATACTTTTTTTCAATATATTAATATTAGAATGCTAATCTTCCTCTCTATCAATTTAAATTGGAATTGGCATGGACTTTTTTATTCTGTTTCATTGTCTTAACCAAACAAGATTAATTGTTGATGATGGTAGTTCAACACTTTTTCCATAATTTACAAGATAGGTAACATTCATGGGCGAACCCACCTTAATCCTAGTGGGGCATATTTTTTTCAAATTAATTATTCAGTATTATTTGTTTTGTTTCAATAGCATATTCAACATTCTGGGGCCATCTCTATTGGTTCTTTGGTTGAAGTCTTTATTTCTCTAGCTACATACAAGTATGCATTTTCTTATTTTCTTTTATTTTAACAAACCAACAATGTATATTTTTATTAAAAATGATCGACAATGTGCCTTGAATTTTAAAAGTTGCCGATAGTGTGTCTAATTTTTCTAGAATTTTTTGCCTCCATTTACATTACTTGTAATAAAATATTGAACTCTTAGGTTTTGACTGTTTTATTTGTTTAACATATATTTTATATTATAAATATTTGATTATCAATTTTAATTTATTTATATTAACATTAGTTTTTTTACCCTTGAGCTTTAATAAATGGTTCCTTATTTAAAAAGAAAAGAATGAACATAAAGTGATATTGAAAATCTTTTGGTTGATCATGGGCTTCGTCTTTTGATTTGGATTTATGATGTTAATGATAGGGATGCAATATGAAGAGCATATTTTCTTAATGGATCACATTAGCCGAAAAATTATAATTTTCCTAGAAAATTTATGGGTAATGTTGCTCGGAGATTTAGTATAAAATGGTTTGAAGAATATCCAACATGGTTAGAGTATGGTGTGAAGAACGATGTTGCATGTTGTCTTTATTGTTATTTATTTAGGCCTCAAGAACAAGTTACTACAAGTCACGGGGGGTGGAGATTCATTTGTTGGTGAAGGATTTAAAAATTATAAAAAAAAGGAAAAACTCTTAGCTCATGTTGGTGAACATAATAGTGCTCACAATAGAGCAAGACAAAAATGTGAGGATTTAATGAAGCTACAAATGCAGAGTGTTGCTACTATGTGATTGAGTAAAGATGAAAGAAACCAAAAAGAATATTAGATTATGTTGACTACAACAGTTGATTGTATTCGATTTCTTTTACGGCAAGAATTAACATTTCATGGTCTGATTAATCATCTAAATCAATTGATCAAGAAAATTATTTGAAATTTATTTATTTTCTTCCTAATCATAATAAATAAGTGAAAAAAAGTTACATTTGATAACGTTAGCACAAAGTTACGGTTGACTTCATCAAAGATTCAAAAACGACTTCGTCAAGCAGCAGTCGTTGAGACTCTTGCACTTATCATTGAAGATATAGTAGATTCATATTTTTCTATAATAATGGATGAGTCTCGTGATGTATTAATGAAGGAACAACTAGGTGTTGTAGTAAGATATATTAATAAAAAGAAACTTACTGAAAGATTTATTGGTATCAAATATGTTTTCTCAATAAATGTAGTTAATCTCAAGACAGCCCTTTAATCTATATTAGCAAAACATTCATTAAGTTTGCATAGAATACGTGGCTAAGCCTATGATGGGGCATCTAATATGCGAGACAAGTTTAATGGCATAAAAGCACTTAATCTTTTTTATAATCCTCAAGCATATTATGCTCATCATTTTAAGCATCAACATCAATTATGTTTAGTAGCAGTAGCAAAAAATCATTGGCAAGAGACATCTTTTTTAGTTCACTTCAAGAATTCTTAATATAATAGGAGCTTCTTACAAGAGGAGTGATGCTCTCTAAACTATTGAACATGGAAATATTCTTTTGTATCTTAAATATGGTGATTAGCGAGCTGGTGAAACCCGTTAGAACCCACATTTTTGTACTTTAATTAGTCTCACAAAAATGTATGCTTCTGTAATTAAAGTTCTTGAAATTGTAAAAGAGAATGCAGTACATGATGAAGAGTCAGCTGAAGCTAGTGTTTTAATCAGTGCAATGAAATTTTTTTTCTTTATCTTTACAATGCATTTAATGATTAATATTTTAGGTATTGCGAATGAATTATCACAATCACTACAAATAAAATATCAAGATATTAAGAATTCAATGAAATTAGTACAAGTGTCTAAGCAACGTTTACAAATGATGAAGTAGAATGGATGAGATTTTTTATTGGACGAAGTGTCTCGTTTTGGTAAGATTTTTTAAATTAATATTCCAGATATGAATTGTATTTTCAAAGCTAATTTTCGGTCAGCACATAGAGGGGAAAAATTACAAATTTACATTATTATACTGTTGAGTTGTTTTATATTGTGATCGACATGCAACCTTAAGTGTTGAACAATCATTTCTCTTAAGCAAGTACTAAGGTACTTCTTTGTGTGGCATGTTTAAGCCCAAGTGATTCATTTTCTGGTTTTGATAAGGGGAAATTGATTTGTCTTGCAAAATTATTTCCAAATGATTTCTCTATTGTTGAATTTGTGGCACTTGCGCTTTAACTATCCACTTATATTATTGATATGCACAGTAGTATTGATTTCTCATCTCTAAATGATAGTTGATCTTGCAAAACAGCTAGTTCAGACAAAGAAGGATGGTGTGTATTCTTTAGTTTATATACTATTATCTTGGCATTGATTTTACTAGTTACTACTGCCATTGTTGAAAGAGCATTCTCTATAAAAAAAATTATCAATTATCGATTGCATAATCGAATGTGTGATAACTGACTTAATGACTGTATCGTACCATACATTTTCAAAAAAAAAATATTTGATTTAGTTTTGAATGAAGCTTACTACTGCCATTGTTGAAAGAGCATTCTCTATAATAAAAATTATCAAATATCGATTGCATGGTCGAATGTGTTATAACTGACTTAATGACTGTATCGTATCATACATATAAAAAAAAAAGTATTTGATTTAGTTTTGAATGAAGTTGTTATGTAATATTATCAAAATATGCAAATTAGATTGAAAAATTTGTAATATATTTTAATTTATGATTGGTAATGGAATACAATATTTTATTTTGAATTGTGTTATTCATTTTTTTATTTATATTATTTTAATATAATAAGCAATGTTTCAGGTGCTACGTACATAAAGAGCACCAATTTTTTTTCAAGCATGATTAATACATAATCCTTTCCAAAAATGTTTTAAATTCTCACCATTATGTTATACATTCGAGCACCATTAATATTCATAATTCAAATTTAAATGACAATTAGTTGATCGATCGTCTTAATTTCTTGTTTTAATTAATATACTATAAATCCAAGCATAAAATCAATGTTCAAAATTCGTCCAAAGGACAATTTGCTAGCTTATTTTGTTAACTAGAAACTTCATTGTAGAAAGTTAATCGATCAGCCCCCCTATATAAATACATATGGAAACCAAGTAAGGCTAACAGGCCGAGCAATAATATCAGAATCAATTGTATGCAAATTCTAATCTTCAAGATCAGCATAGTCCCACCATCACATAATAGTTAGAAAGGCGTTGGACATTAAAATAAAAAAAAAGGTTCTCCTTTTGCAGAGCCCGCCAAGTCGTAGGGCCGGTTGAGAGAATTCGTTCCCTCAAGTCGTGACCTACATTTGAGCAAAATCACCCCAACTTACCTTGGGTAGTGTGTGTCCTGTAACTCACTCGACCTGTTAGTTGACATCCACGGAATGAGACCTTTCGGGTCGGGAGTTCGAATCTCCTCTGGCACAGTTGGCCTTAAAGAGATGAAACTCAAATTGTTAGTCACATTAAGGGTGAGTGACTGGAGGCACTTATGACCATTAATATTTCTCTCTCTCTCTCTCTCTCTCTAAATATATATATATAGAGAGAGAAAGAGAGAGAGAGAATATATAGAGAGAGAGAGAGAGAGAGAGAGAGAGACCTCACCATCATGATTGAGATCGTTAAACATCATAGCTAAATTAGTTCAAAAGATCATAAATTAATATGTCACTTCGTAAGCCTGATTTTAGAGCAAAAGTTTTCAGATTTCACAATTTTAGCAATGCGGGCTTCACAGAATCTTATGGTGGACAAGATAGAAACATCAAATTGAAATCGCTCTGATTAGATCATAAGAAATGCTTTAACATGCACAACATTTAAAAAAACAAATGGCCCGTTAGATTTCTAATTTGCAACTTATTTTATTGATAAGTAAACATCAATAAACTATAAATAATTGATTGTTTCACCCAAATTAGATTCAGCAAATAAAAAATTTGGAAATAAAATAAAACTGTGGAAAGAAACTTCTCAAAAACACAGAAAGAAAAATAAGAAAAACATGGCATGCCAAATGAGGCCTCCAATTAGTTATATATAGCACTTATTGGAAAAATTAAATGTAGGATAACCTAATAATATCATGCAATTTACTACGATTGCATTACTAGCCTTCATCTTTGCAAACTTCACCGCCCTGGTCATCTGCGGCCGTATCCAAACCTAATAATATCATGCAATTTACTACGATTGCATTATTAGTCCTCATCTTTGCAAACTTCACCGCCCTGTTTCAAGCAGCTCATCTGCGGCTGTATCCAACGCGGCCGTATCCAAATCATGAGGAAAGAACAATCTGCAACATAAGAGATATTTGATTAAAAAAGTAGTTTGTAATATTTTATTCAAGCAAGGGGTAAATTGTAAAAGGTTTCTTGTGCATTCTGGCTATCCTTTCGGCATCTGTCCTGATTCTGTTGTTGTTGTGAGATCTAGATATACCAGTTGATGTGGTATATATATATAAATCAAACAAGAGAACGATCGACGAAATGAAAAATAGAACGAGAAAAATCATACCAGAAAAGAACAACACAGTGGAACACAGATTTACGTGGTTCGGCAAATTGCCTACGTCCACGGAGTTGCAGAGGATTTTACTACTTGAAGATTTTACACCAGTCGATCACCTCGACTTACAAGAGGAATCTCACTCTCACTTCGTTGCTCTCTTCTTCTCTCTCATTTCTTCTCTCGACACCGAGATACACCGAAGAAACTCCACACCGAGATACACCGAAGAAGATAAACTTACAATAAAAATTAACTCAATTTCTCTTCAGCCACAAGCCACCAAGAAGAAGCCGAGAGAGAACAATCTTCTTCTTTTTCTTTCTTCTTCCTCCCCCGCAAGGAACTACCTCTTGCACTTCTCTTCCTTCTATCCCGAGGAAATCGAAGAACTAAAAACGTGACCACGAAACCCAATGAGAGCCCATTTGAAGTTTTTATCACAAACAGGAGGGAGGAGGGAGAGGGAGTGAAGAGATGCTTCACTTCACAAAAGAAGAAGGCGGGAGTAGTTATTTCTGAAGATGTGTGACTCTCCAAAGCAAAGTAACCGCCCAAGCATAATGGACCGGGCTCTGTCTCTACCGTTTCTAACAATTCTCCCACTTTGAGACCGGTACACAGGCTGAAAATACTCCTTCCTCAAACTGATATCCTTCACTAGCGATGTCACATTTTTCTTCAACATGTATCCTCCGTCTCTGCAACTCAAAGCCTCTGTCTTCACTGCAGAAGACCAACTGAAGTTTTTGTCATGTTATCTCCCTCTGAAATCAACATTCAGTGTCGAACTCGAACCTGAGACATCGCCAGAATCTTTCCTGCGAACTTCCTCAACCAAAGTCAAATCACGAATATTATCGTATTTCAGTTTAGATTTACCTGCATAACTGTTAACTGCTGTCTTCATGGCTTCTCGGCTATCTGACAATAAAGCCAATAAGATCAGTGCACATATCTCATCATCAAAATCAATTTTCACAGACGACAATTGATTTGTGATAATATTAAAAACATTCAGGTGTTAAGCAACAGAAACACATTCCGTCATCTTCAAATTGAATAACTTCTTCATCAAGTACACCTTGTTATTCGTCGATGGTTTTTCATACATACCTGATAAGGCTGCCATGAGATCTGCAGTTGCACTGTGGCCTCTGGTAGATTTCCTACCACATTCAAAGCCCCTGAATCTAATATCAAGTCTTCAACAGAACTATGAACTGCGAACAATAGTGCATCCTGTGATTCTTCAGATACCACATTTGCGCTATCATTCTTCATCTTCTTAGGATTCCTGCAGTTCTTTGTGCGGCCAACCTTGCCACAATTCCAACAGGTTGTCTGCTTACTAAACTTTGATTTTGATCTCCTTATACTTGAGTTCCTGTCATGTCATCTCCCTCTGAAATCAACATTCAGTGTCGAACTCGAACATGAGACCTCGCCAGAATCTTTCCTGCATACTTTCTCAGCCAAAATCAAATCATGAACATCATCATATTTTAGTTTAGATTTACCTGTAGAACTGCTAACGGCTATCCTCATGGTTTCTCAACTATCCGACAATGAAACCAACAAGATCAATGCACATATCTCATTATCAAAATCAATTTCCACATACGACAATTGATTTGTGATAGTATTGAAAACATTCAGATTCAGGTGTTGAGCAACAAACACACCTTCTGCCATCTTCAAATTGAATAACTTCTTCATGAAGTGCACATTGTTATTCGTCGATGGCTTTTCATACATACCTGATAAGGTTGCCATGAGATCTGCAGTCGTCCTTTCCTTAACTACGATGTGTGCAACCGACCTCGATAGAGTCAATCGAATAACCCCCAGAACTTGTCGAACCAACAAATTACATTCAACCTTTCAGGTCATTTCCCCAATAACCGAAGATAAAGTTCTTCCCATAAAGATAATCATTTATCTGCATTCTCCAATAACCAAAATCTGTGTCATCAAACTTCTCGATCCCTGAAACCTTTACTTCATCTGTAACCATCATTCTTCCTCAGATCCGAAACCGCGCTCTGTACCAGTTGTTATTGTGAGATCGAGATATACCAGTTAATGTGGTATATATATATATATATATAAATCAAACAGGAGAACGATCAACGAAGTGAAAAATAGAACGAGAAAAATCACACCAGAAAAGAACAACACAGCGGAACACGTAGATTTACTTGGTTCGACAAATTACCTACGTCTCTTTGCCCTCTCTCTTCTTCTCTCTCTGTTCTTCTCTCTCTATACCGAGATACACCGAAGAAAACTCTACACCGAGATACACTAAAAAAGACAAACTTACAAGAGAAATAAACTCAATTTCTCTTCTGCCACAAGCCACAAAAAAGAAGCTTAGGGAGAACAATCTTCTTCTTCTTCCATCTTCTTCCTTCTACCGCAAGGAACTTCTCCTCCTTGCACTTCTCTACTACCTCTTGCACTTCTCTTCCTTCTATCCCGAGTAAACTGAAGAAGAACTCAAAGCGTGACTACGAAACCCAAGGAGAGTCATCCGAAGTTTTTATCACGAACAAGGGAAAGCAAAGAGATGCTTAACTTCACAAAAGAGGAATGCAAGAGTGATTATTTGTGAAGAGGTGTGACTCTCCAAAGCAAAGTAACCGCCCAAGCATAGTAAACCAGACTCCACCGTTTCTAACAGGTTCTTCAGTAAGTGATTCTTGTGAGTATTGCATCTCCATTGATCAATTGCTTTATCAGGTTCTTCATTGATACAAAGAATAGTTTTTCTATAGATTATTAATGTTTTTTTGGTTTAAATATGGCATGAATATTTTCCAATGATTTAAAGTTGCTACGAGTAAGAAACACTTCAGAAGAATTGGCGATTCCGCATTCATTCTGTTTTGACACGTAGTTGAATATAGCATCTTCATTAGGATTTACTTTACTTGCTTTAAGGGGAAAGAACAACAATGAAAATGTTACATTGAGTATGAGCTGTTAATTAATTAAGGTCATGCACAAGCCAAGGATAGCTTCAGCTCGACTCGACTCATTTACACCCCTAGCTTGGCGAGAAACATGAGTAGAGTTCTGCTCAAAAGAATGCAAAAAGAAGAAACAAAAAGATAGAATTCATAGGCCATATAATAATTTTCTCTGCTGGCTTCACATAGTGTCTATTTAAGACTAATTTTATTTTAATATTATTATTTTTAAATATTTTTGTATAGTATAACATTGTTATTGTCGGATCCCAAGCCCTAGATGCAAAAAAATGAAAAATTGCATTAGGTAGTCAACAATTAGCATGAAATTTTTGTCGAAAAATCATGACAAAAAATCATTTAAATCATTGTATAAATGATAGGACATCCTCTAGAAGTCACGTGTTATATGACCTGAATATAGTGAAAAATATGCAAGGGTCGTTACACCGGCGCCAGGATGTAGTATCAACAAAAGCAAGAGTTCTCATATTATGGATGGATGCAGACAAAAGAGTTAGTCCATGAAACTAATATTAGGATATGATCTTCAAATATTTGCACTTTCACAGGAAAATTAATAGAATAGGTAGATATTATGGTTTATAGAAAGATAAATATCTTACGCTCATGAAAACTAATGAGTTGAAGAAAAAGCTAACGAGATAGATAACTTAAATTTTAAATTTTGATATTCAGGTGGGAGATGTTGGTGTAATTATAGATAAGAATTTGAAAGATAATGGTCTAAAAATTAATAGAATTAGAGATAAATTTATAGTAATAAAGATTATATTGATACTAAAACTTTTAATGTTATAAGTGCTTATGTTATTCAAGTAGGTTTATATATAGGTTGAAAAGAAAAATTTTGGAATGACCTAAAATAATTAATTTAAATGATACCTCTTAAAGAAAGATTTTTTATTGGAGAAAATTTA